TGTGTCTATGGGCCAGACTAGTTTTGGATAATTCCACTCCTCATAAGTGACCCTGGACACTACCACCAAATGAAATTTCAGACCAAACGAAGAATTAAATTGTGGCGGAATGCTACAAGTTCTTCAAATACCTATAGAATGATGGGATTCTTTTTTGTGAGTGTAAAACACTTAAAAACACCAAATCTTCGAGCCAATGATTTTCTACTTGTAGTTACTGCCTATTACAAGTATTAAAGTTCTGGAAAAAATAGCGCCAAATGTAATATTTGATTACACGTGATTATATTTAACTTTCTGCAGTATTAAAAAATAATTTTTTATCAGTTGTACGCAGCTTATTGTTTTTATCACTAAAATTGAAGATTGCATATTAAATTAAAAGCTCACCTTCTTGTTTACTTATTTATTTGGAGTTTTCTTTTAATACTAATTATTTTGAAATTGTCACGTTGCGTTTTCAATCGTAAGATATGTCTAGTTCTAAATTTGTTTACAGATATCGCTCAAAAATTTGAAGAACACAGTCCCAAATGGTTAGTGTGCCGGACAGTGGAGTTGGGGTTCTGGGGCTCGCGTACCCTCACTCTTATAACACACCCACGGCCAAAAAGTGCGGAGTGCGATGTTTTTCTTGGAGCTATAGGGATGCGAACCACGGATCCACAGCCCAGCAAGATAACTATCCAACCATAAGTTCGTAACAGTTAATAGTTAGTATCAGTGTTTCTTATTACTTGTGTAGTTAATATCAAGCATGCCTAGAAAACATCAGACTATAAGTAGTGATACTAAATTAGAAAATATAATATACATTTTATTGGGTTTTCTTACATTAATATGGCGCTTGAAATATAACACAAGGGAATTTCACTCAGTTTGTTAAATGTTGTTCTTACATCAAGGTGTTATAAGGAGTTTCACTCAGTTTGTTAAATGTTGTCCATACATCAAGATGTTATACACCTCAAAGCCTTCTACATTTTTACCGTTACGACTTTGTTTTCATTTATTTGCTAGGCTGTGCGTGACAAAATGGTTAGCGTGCCGTACTATTAATCCATAGGATCCATGGTTTGTGTCCCGTTAACGCTATATTACATTTCGTGGACGTAGGTGCGTTACAAAGTGATGGTCCAATGCCACTATTACAGTAGCCCAAGAGTTGGCGGTGGATGCTGTTGACTAGCTAGTTTCCCTCTAGTCTACCAGTTCAAAATTAGGGACGGGTAGTCCTTTTGTATCTTTGAGTGAATATTTCAAACAGAAAAACAAATTTTCGAATGCTTGCATCCTTGTGAAATGTTTACCTTAAATAAACGATACATATAAGTTCACAGTCTAGTGATAACAAGTTTATTCTATGAAAGGCTAAGTTGACATATTGAAGTTCTGATACTACTCACTGTTTGTCATAGATGTCACTAAGCTCCTTTTTTATATATATAATGCAACATGGAAAGAAAAGAAAAAGAAAACCGAGATTGTGCCCATACTGTAAAACTGATTTATTTTCCTATAAACTTATTTTTCCTCAAACATTATATTGTGTTGTTGTTGTTTTTTTTACTTTGCCCCGAGTTTACGGAAATTACCACACGTGATTTCTCGCCTTTAAAGCGTATTGATTCAGTCCTAACTCGGTAAGATTTGTATTTTACCTTCCCTTTACTCGTTGGTTCAATACATTGTTCGATAAAAGTATTCCCCAAAAACCAATACAAAATCTACTGTCTGAACCAATTAAAGCTAGCTGAAGCGGATGTTTCTCATAGAAAAGTGACTTAAACATTCTCTTTGCATACATTGAGTCAATATAAGTTGCAATCCGTGATGACTTCCTGTTGTTGTCCAGCTAACTGACAAACCGATGATCTTTAAGTCAAATTAAAACGAAAGTTTATAAAACAATCAAGTTTCCAGGCCTGACTATCACTTTTAAAGTTTTTATAGTTCAAAAACTTAACCGTATTTTTCATTGGTAAATAATCATGTATTGACCACATGAAATAATTAAATTGACCAATGGTTGTTCTTCCTGTAGGAGTCCTTAGAGGCGTGATTCTCTTCTCTTCTTTGATACAGTATTTACTGATTTGGATCAACTGGGTTGTAAGGATGTCAATTAATCATTTTCATAATCACTTGACACATTTTTGAAAACAGTCTTTTAAAGATGCTAAATAAAACTGTAGCGTAACGATTTTTTGTTTTTAGGCGAAAATCGATTTTTATGATGTTTTTTCTCTTTGAGAAACGAGAAAAGTGGTTACACAATTCTTTATTTTCGTTTTCCTGTCGTTAACGGTGATGATTAAATCACGGCATAAAGAAACAAAGGCACGTGTCTTCAACTTACGTGGTAAAGATTAATTTCAAGGTATTCCGTTAAAAACACTAAATAGAACCGAAGGGTGGCTTATAAAACTGTTTCTCTTCAGAGTTTCAAGAATAAGACACCGTCTTATTATTCATTTAACTTCATGAACTTACAGCCCTATAAAGTTGACTGAGGAATCAGATTTCCGTCCTGTTTCCTGTTTATTTTATTGAAATAGCCTCAAAAGCTATTATTTGGGTAAATTCAGAAAATTCAAACAAATCGAAAAAGCTTTTCCTTTGATTCATAAAAAAAAGAGATTTAATATTAAGATAAACTATTTAACTTAACGAATTAAAGCTATTATATATGCAGACAAATTATCAACATTCAATTGTATAGAAAATTAGTCCTCTTAATCCATGGAACAATAAGTCACCAATAGCAACGAACACTGTTTAACATAATGAATAACAACATGGAACAATAAGTTACCAATAGCAAAAAAAAAATATTTCTCTTATTAAGTGACGATAAAATGATGTTTAAATAGCAAGTGATATATTTCCCTTAATAAATGAAGAGAAATTATTTTTAAATAGCAAGGGAAGTATTTATCCTAATACATAAAAGGAAAAGTTACCTACTTAGACCAAAACTGAAAATCAGCCCATAATGAGAATGGTTAATTAATTATGCGTTTCTGACGTTCATGTTTATAAAGATTAGATTCATTGTTTCACCATTTAGGTACCGTCGCTGTTAACAGTATTTTTGGCCGTAAACCCAATAATATCTCTCGAGATTGGATCATCTGAGGAGATTTAAGTTTGTACTAAATGCATACATTAAGCTAACAATGTAAAACAATCTCGATAATAACAGTATAATAATAACAAAAATAAAACTAGATATGTTGAGCATTCTAACCAATACCAACAAAAGAGTATATGTTACGGAGCACAAAAACTCTAGCTGTTAGCTTCAAGTCATGTCGAAGATTTGATGCACGTTGTACAAAGTAACATCAGTTTGACCGTGATAGTTAAGTAACAAGATAGAATATTGGGGGTATCCAATATCTGAAGAAAAAATAATGTACTATACTATTACCCGATTCCATACACAATAACATGTGTAGTAGTACCTTATCTCTCACGCTAGGCTATCTAAAGTTTCAATGTGTGTCGGAGCCGTTTAACGGTCTTTCATTGGGAAGTAGACGTTGTTAAAGAGAATCATATAAAGTTTGACGTATACTGTTATCAAGCTTTTCAAGCGACAGGGAATCGGTGATAGTGTATGAAATAAACAACTAGATTTTATATGATTTCCAAGTAATTTATATTTCACTCTATCGTTAAGGATACTTTCTTTAATAGTATTGATTAAATGTTTAATATTTATAATATATTCATTTATTTATTATTTCTCTTTCAGTTTGCATTGTTAGTTTGGTATTTGGAAT